TGGGGGGGGGGGGGGGGGGGGGGGGGGGGGGGATGTTCGAGGGTGACTCAGGTTTTCCTCGGGACGAGGAGGCATCTCGGAGGATGTGTATCGACGATGACGTAAGCAGAGAGAGAGAGAGAGAGAGAGAGAGGAAAAAAAAATCCCGATTCCCCCTTCCAACGTGCCAAGGTTGAACCTTTTCTTTCTCGTGCCTTCGCCTGCCATGGTAACCAAGGTCAGGACGGAAGGAAAAGGAGAGGGAAAAAAAAACGAAGTACGTCGTCCGACCTGAGGACGATCGATTGGCCTTGGTTTCCTTTTCTCTCTATATGTGCACCAAATTAGGAAGAGTGCCTGCATATATAATCTCTGCAAGGAAGAAGGAGGAAAAAAAAAATACCGGGTTTGCCTTAACGAGAGAGACGCGCAAGGCCGTTTGCCTTGTTTGGAGGCATTGTAATCCGAGAGCGGAGATGCAGATGAGTCTCGGGGAACTGCGTGATTCACTTCCGGCTTGCTCTGCGCGCTCCTATTCGTTCCTATTCGCTCCTATTCGATTCTTAGAAGGACTAATCCACGTCTTCCTGCGTGCTGTGCGGGTCTTTTTCCTGCTGGGTTTTGTAGAGTCGGTAGTCTTGAAGTTGATGCTTTCGTAGGACTTCTACTTTTCCATGGTTAATTTGTTACATTTTTGCTTTGATTTTCTGTTTTGTTGCCAGTTTCTTTCATTGCGTTGTTCTGTATATTATAGATACAGCTTAATTATTAAATAAAAATAGGAATTATTACATCGCGCCTTGCTTGAAGTTTGCGCGAGGAATTTAAAACTGCATTTAAACGTAAAGCACGTAGGATTGAAGGAAAAAAACGCGTGCTGGAGCTGGAGTGGGCGTGCGATCCCCATTCTCCACACTTCATTTTGGTCGTTGATCCCCCTCATCCCCTCCGGAGGTCGATACACTCGCATGCACGCGCGCACACACACACACACACACACGCGCGCGCGCTGAGTGTGTGTGTCTGCGGGGATGAACGTGACAGGCAGCGAAGGCGGTTTGTGACCCTGCTGCTGTTGTTGTTAGTTGTTGTTGAGAGGGGAGGGGAGGGGAGGGGAGGGGAGTTCACCGACTCCCCCGGTGACGGGTGACTGGCCCGGTGCATGTTCTAGCGTCGCGGGATTAGTAGGGTTGAGGGGGCAAAGGGATGAACGCTCTCCCGGAGTTCTCGGAAGAGGGAGATTTCTCTGGGAAGGAGGGAGGAGGGAGGGGGGAGCGAACTTGTGAGATAAGTCAGGAATGTCTGTTTTGTTGCAAAATTAATTGGTTCGGCATCCTTCGATAGCCGCCACATGACTACATGGAAATGTAGAAATCGTGAGAAATCTCTGCAGGAGAGATGAGACCTGAAAACCTTGGTGTTCGTCTTCTGCCGTGAGACACTGGTCGCCATTATGGACATTATTACCCTGCAGCCTATTCATCAAACGTTTACAAACGTTGGATGGGAAGAAGCCAGAAGGTGGCGAAAGGGAATCGAGCCGCGCAAGTGTCGTCGCGTGGGATGGTCCACCCCCCTCGTGGGATGGTCCTCCCTCCCCCGCGAAGATCGCTTTCATGACGGCGATGGACTGGAGGCCCTTTAATGGATTCCTCCCTCACACTAACAACAACCCTATCTGATCGGGGGGAGGACCAGGAAGTCCATCCTGATTAATTGCTCCTTCTGGATTTCTCAACGACGGAGGGAAAGGCCTGCAATGTACGGAGGGAGGACTTTCTCCTCCTGCTCTTTCTCCTTTTTCTTCCTTCATTTCGCAACGAGGCGGCGGCGGGTGAGGCCCCGACCAGTCCCGCGTATGAAAGATTAATCGCAACTCTTTTTTTTTTTTTTTTTTTCCGGGTTGTATGGNTTATGCCGAGAGACAACTTTTACTCCAGGTTGTCGCAAGAGTGAAATGGAGCGAAATCTTCCTGCTTCGATCGTGCCGTATCGTTGCACAACTTGAGAGAGAGAAAGGACCTAAAACAATGGCGTAATGGCATCAGGAAAAACTTGATACCCTTTGTCGAAGGTCTAGAAGGAGGAAAAGGAGGGAAACAAAATCGGGGTCGACCGAGTTTCCCTGGACCAGTTGACCATTTCGCAAGCCGTTGTGATTCGTGAGAGGGGAGGGCAACGTTGTGTTACAAGCACGACAGGGTCATCCGACAACCCTGCGACGCGTCCCCGTGCCCGATTCCGCGGCGCGCTGGGTAGAGCCCCACGCGGGTCGGCCGTGGACGCGCTCCGCGGGGGACCCGCCCGAGTGGCTGGGGACGGCGCCCGGACCGCCGATCCGGCGGAGGCCTCCAACGGAAAAAAGTGAAAGCGGGGATGTCCGCAATCGCTCATTGAATGAGGCCCCACGGTTGCCGGATCCTTCGAGACCCTCCAAACGAGGACTCGTATACCGAAACTGGGACGATCCGGAGGGATACTTTTTATCAAGGCTTTTGCTCTCTTGCTCTCTGTTGAAGGCCTCCTTCTTTTATAATCTAAGTGGAACAGGAGTATGGGGGGGAGGGAATGTAGGAATGAGAAGGAAAAAAAGCTAGATGAGGTTACTTATCAATTGGGGCGAAGAAAGGTTTTTTTTTTTTTGCATGGTTGGCTTATGCATGTCCCTTTGTTCGGATCTTTCCCCCTCGCTAGATAAGATTTTTTTTCCCCAATTCCCCCTCCGCCTCGCCAAGGTCGGACCTAAAATTAGATTTTTGTCCTTGTTTGCTCCGTGTGAGTGTTGCTGGTATCCTGTCTGATTTTTTTTTTCTATATTCCTGGCTTTTTTTTTATATTCACCGTTTCCTGTTGTCTCTTTCCAGGTGAAGGTAGTGAAATTCAGCTACATGTGGACCATCAACAACTTCAGTTTCTGCCGCGAGGAGATGGGCGAGGTCCTCAAGAGTTCCACCTTCAGTGCCGGCTCCAACGACAAACTCAAATGGTGAGTAAAAAAAAAATTTTTTTTTTTTAAGACCTGTTTGAAGAGCCCGAGGCCCGAAGAAGATCTGACTATGGATATGAACCAGTCAGACGGGCCGGGAATGTCAAGGTCGCATGAAACGCGTTCCGCGCCCCCCAAAAAGGAGTCATGGAAATTCGAGTGAAAAAGACCGAAGCGGATTCCGTGAATGAACACACCTGCGTCTGTCCCTTCCCAGGTGTTTGCGAGTGAACCCGAAGGGGCTGGACGAGGAGAGCAAGGACTATCTCTCCCTCTATCTGCTACTAGTCTCATGCAACAAATCCGAAGTCAGAGCCAAGTTCAAATTCTCGATCCTCAATGCCAAAAGAGAAGAAACCAAAGCTATGGGTAAGCCAAGCAATATTCATCTCGGTTTTCTTTTCTCAGTGCAAATGGCAGCTGTCTTCCTTTGGTACGTATATACTGCGTTTTCCGCTGTAATATGATGAAAACAATAATTATAAAAATTGTTATATTGATTAAATTGATTTTAAAAGTTTATTATTATTTTTTATAGCGTCTAGTGACTGATCCATTTCGTGGTGGTTACTTTAGAGAGCCAGCGGGCGTACCGGTTCGTGCAAGGGAAGGACTGGGGCTTTAAGAAGTTCATCCGGCGGGACTTCCTCTTCGACGAGGCGAACGGCCTCCTGCCGGACGACAAGCTCACGCTCTACTGCGAGGTGAGCGTCGTGGCGGACAGCGTGAACATCTCGGGGCAGAGCAACGCCTCGCCGTTCCGCGTGCCGGACTGCCGGCTCGCCGATGATCTCGGGATGCTCTTCGAGTCCCAGCGCTTCTCGGACGTCACGCTCGCCGCCGCGGAGAAGGAGTTCGTCGCCCACAAGGCCATTCTCGCCGGTGAGGAGAGATCCGCGTGGATTGCACGCCGTGCCACGTGCTTTTCGCGTTGTTCCGTGCCGTTTCATTTTCACGGGGACCCAGCTCTGATTTTCTCAATTTCAGCCATACTCCTGTCTTTTTTTTTTGTCCCCATTTTGTTAATGCAGAGCATTACGTGCGGTACGTAGCAACATTGGTATTACTCATAACTGGCATGCCAGATGGTGCATGGTTCTCAGGTGCCTTGCCAGCAGAAAATAGCATGTTTTTCAGGCGGCAAAATGTGCAAAAGATTTTCAGGAGCTATCAGACCAGTTGCAGAGAATGAAGCTGTTTTTGCACGTGTCACTTTCCCTGATAGACTTCAAGGTTTTGCATGCACGTGCACTTAGGTTTCCAATTGGTTTCCAATTGGTTTTTGTTGCTCAATTAAAGGTTCGATTCATAGAAAATTTCCGAACACTGAAATTGGCTTAAGTTTTCTGCTCTACTATCCTTTTTTAATCCCACTGGCACGTAGAAAAGTGAACGAAGTTAGCGGTCTGATCATCTACGATGCAGTCATTGTGTCTGCACCCTTGTCAGCAAATGAGCCCTTTTCTTGAGAGGAGACCCCCAAGAACAAAGTCAGCATTGTCTGGTCGATGCCAAGAGTAGCACCACGCATGGTTGCAGGGTGTTTGGCAAGGAAAATTTAGCAGAAGGAAATAGTGAAAAGGCGAGGCATGCAGAGTGTAGCCAAGAATGAGGGTTTCGTTTTAGTTTTGGTTACAATTACCTTTTTCAAGTGATTGACAGTCCTATTTTATGCACCACAAGTCTCATGATTTCCAAATTAAAATCTGAATCTTCAATTTGGACCGTGAATGTGTGCAAATCTCGTATCAAGGTTATGTGCAAATCTCGTATCAAGGCGTGCCATGAAGTAGCCTTAGGGTGTAAAACCACAATGATGGGGCTTTCCTGTGCAGTTTTTTTTCTTCTTCTAACAGGATGTTTAACAATGAAATATGGGAAGATCCGCTTACTCATTTAGACAAACGTAATGACAGACCGTCTTGTCCCTCGCAGCCCGAAGTCCAGTGTTTGCGGCCATGTTCGAGCACGAGATGGAGGAGCGGAAGGCGGGCCGGGTGGAGATCGCCGACGTGGAGCCCGAAGTCCTCCAGGAAATGCTACGCTTCGTCTACACAGGGAAATCGCCGAATTTGGACAAGCTGGCGGACGAGCTGCTCGCTGCCGCCGACAAGGTTGGTCCTTTGGTCCGTTTCGGTCCGTTTGGCTCGTTGTCCGCCCTTCAATGTCCATCGCCGGGTATCGACGGAGGATTTCGCTGGCGGACCAGATGAACACTTGCAATTCTTTGAGAAAGTGGGGATTCGCGTTCAGTGGGTCTCCGCTGGTTCATGGTTCTGCTACATTTCGGTTTCCTTCCCAAGGGTTTCTGTCGTGCAGTTTGAGATTTTTTTTTGCATGAAACTGAGTGGCATTTCCATGAGATATGAGCTCCCCCTTTGGCATTTTGTTCTGTTTGGAGTATTACATTATTTACATTATTCTGTCTTTGGCCAAACAGATTAAGGGTGCTGGGTAAATGTTGATCCTGTCTGTGCTGTTTAATTTAATTACAGTAATGTTTTTTTAAATTATGTAATCATCATTTGCTCTGAACATGTAAGAGGTAATAAATGGTAAGAATTGGTAATTCGTTAATTAATATGAATCCTCACTGTCGTCTTCAGCATATGTAGAAGACCTCAAAGCTCACATCTTGTATATTCAGCCTCGTAGGTACGTGGAAAACGTAGTGATTGTTTCGCCAACAACATGGAAATGTCTTGGACAAGGCAATAAGCACAGGCTGCAATTTTGAGTTCCTGTTCACCGATTTAGGTCCGTGGAGAAATTGCTCCCAATTTAACGCATTCGCCTCTCCCCCAACAGTACGCGCTGGAGCGATTGAAGATCATGTGCGAGGAAGCACTCTCCCAGAGCCTCTCGATAGAGAACGCGGCCGACGTCCTCATCCTCGCCGATCTCCACAGTGCAGATCAGCTGAAGAGTCAGGCCATCGAGTTCATCAACACGTGAGTCCTCTTTTCTGTGAAGTTTGGGACGGGAAATTCGCTCGATGGAATTTTGAGACACGAAGTCGATGACTTCGCTTGCGAGATCAGTGTTTCTTGCCACTGCAGAATGTCTAAACTATGTTTTTATTAATTAGAAGCTAGATGGCATTTTTCAGCTGAACACTTAGTGGTTTGAAGCTCTTTCTCTGAAATTGCATCCCCCATATATGCAATTGGTGTTATGCCAGCTGCATGCATGTCGATGCAACTCCCGAAGGCTCGACTGGAAGCGATTCCAGCCAGTTTGAGCTGTTCGTGTAAAAGAATTCAGTTGGCTTTATTTCGAGTGGCATTCTTGCAAACGAGGTGCAAGACCTTGTCTCAAGGAATTTCTGGAAAGTGAAGGGAAAACGTCCCTCTTAAATGTCCCAGCCGCTTTCGATATTTGGCTGACACGAAGGATCTCTTTGCAGGCATGCGACCGACGTGATGGAGACGAAGGGGTGGAAGAGCATGATCGGGAGGCACCCGCACCTGATCGCAGAGGCCTTCCGGGCCCTGGCCACCCAGCAGGTCCCTCCCATCGGACCCCCGCGGAAACGCATCAAGCAGACCTAAGACCAGTGATATCTAGGGTAATACATAGACCGAATGCAACATCAAAATTCACACACATTCACACTCGACAGAGCAAGCAAAGGAACCGAAACGAACCTCGTCGTCGTCTGCGTGTTAAGAAGAGTGTGAGTTTTTGTGCGTCTGTGTCAGCCCTGTCTACCTCCGGATCCTCACACGTTCAAAGGGAGAGAGAGAGGAAAAAGAAGTCGGAAAAAAAAAAACTTTTTCTTTTTGGAAGACGACGATGAAGACGAGCGAATCGGACTCGAAAAAGAAGGACGGTCCCTCTTGGCCAGTGTTGTACGTGCACGTCGCCCGGGTCGAGTCTGTTCGACTCTCACGCCAATCAAAAGAAGACTCCAGCCCCGCGCCGACCCGTGCGGTTAACGTGCGGTTAACGGTCTCACAGTCACGTTCGTGACTAATTTCTCCTTTTTTTGCCGATTTTATTCGGCACTGGTGATAGCATGGAAATTTAAGGAAGCAAAGCAAAAAAGATATTGGCGACACGAAATTGAAGAAGTTGCAACTTTTTTTTTTTTTGGGAGCGATTGGCACGATGTACAAGAAAACCCCGCCCCGCCCCGCCCCCCCGAGCAGATGTCTTTCCGCTGCATAGTATTATCCACCCCCACCCCCCATCTCGTTGTTGTTGCTGCTGTTGGTGTCATCCAACAAAATTTCGAAATTTGTTAAAAGCCCAAAAAAAAAAAAACCGAGGAAGAGATTTGGACCAGGTTCGTCATGTATGCCATACTCTTTCTGTGATAACAATAGGGAAAAAGAAGAAAAAAAAAACATTTGGTGACAAAAAAAAAAATCAGTGAGAGATGTTCCCACCTTAGTATCTCATCGAGGACGAGTGAGAGCCAGTGAGCGTGAGCGTGAGCGTGTGCGAGTTCCCTCTTAGCCGGAGTAGTTTTTTTGGCATCTCTGTCTTGCATCTTCCTGGTTCCTGTTTTTTTTTTGTCCCCTCACGATTTTGTTGGATCTCACGCCGGGTTTTTTTTTCTCTCTCTCCTGTTGGTTTCTTCCCTGTCAAAGAAAAAAAAAAATTCATTCCAAAAGGGGGGGGGGGATGAAGTCGAAAGGTTAAATTCTTGCACGTGGGTTTTCCCCCGATGTCTGTCCCCGCTTCCCCCCCGCCGTGTCCCCCACGTGGACGTGATATCCGAACGATCCCAATTCGCACTGTACCATGTGTTTTCTTCTCCCCCTTTCCTAGAAGGCAAATTTTGAGAGAGACAGAGGCGTTTATCTGAATAAAAATCTGTGGATTTCTTGGAGAAAAGAAAAAAAAAACGGACAGCTGCTGCTTCTTCTACGTGCCATTTTCGGGCAGTTGCCATTTTTCGGCCCGTCATCCCCATGATTCGGATGAATCCGAGAACAAAGAAAACGGAATCTCACCCTCCTTTTCAGATCCAGACTCGGATTACGCAAAACCGTCATCGAAAGCCTGGCTCGACTCAAATAGTCGAAGGCATCACCCACATAAATGGCATATATACAAGTACTGATAGTCCTGATAGTCTTCATAGTCCTGATCACTAAAGCGCAAGTGTGAAGCCAATTGAGAGCATCGCTATGAAATGCCCTTGAGATACTTTCACTCGAGTCTCGTACGAGAATCACTAAGGTTGATTTCAATACACACAAGCTTTCCAGTGGCTTGGAACGAGCATTGTAAGAAATACTTTGAAACGTTGGGGGCGAGTCGGCCCCCCCCCCCCCCCCAACACAAGAGTTGTGCGGTTCTCGCCATTCCTCAGCGTGACGGCGCCGATACCGTGACGTTTCGGTGCCGCGATATCTCGGTATTCCCAGAACACCACAACGTCATGCCATCGCGGAATTCCGGAGGATCGGCATTTCCTTCCGTCGGGAAGCAACGTCATCGCCGACGACCGTCTCGTCGTTGGCGAAATTTCTCCAAGAGTTTGGAGAAATTAATTTATTTTTTTTTTTTTTAAGTCTGAAGAGAAAAATCGCTTATCCAGCAGCTTCCGCTTCCATGTCATGGGGCCTTAATGGCTTTAATTTCCCAAATTAGTGGTTTTCAATGTGCCCTTTCAAGGCTTGCCTAGTCAGCGACTTCCTGACGAACAAGGCATTTAATTAAGAAAGGATATTCCAAAGTCACCAAGGAGACTCGGAACGACGATAAGAGGCAGCCGCCATTTTTCGGCACAAAAATCGACGGAAATTTTTTTCCTCCATATCAGACAAGGATTTTCCTCATTCGGTTGGCAGGACAAATCCAGTCCAGCCAACAGTCTCCGCGAATACAGCCAATATTTGCAATAAAAAGATTCCCATTCCGATTTGCAAAGAAGAAACTTCCCAAGAAAACAAGTCAGCAGGAAGATTACCTGATTTACCTGATTTACCCGAGCACGGACAATTCCATCCGGCATCGCTAATCGCAACGAGGAAATGTAACCGTGACAGCACGCGCCTCCCGCTTCCCCCAGAGAAAGGCGGCTTCCTCCTTTCTCCCCCGCGGAGCTTCCGCATTGGTGCAGGCAACCGCGAAAACTTGCTCTCCATGACGTCACGATCACGTGACCCTCCACCCCCCCGGGCTGCCTCCTCCTCCCCTCATTCCGCCCCTCGCCACCGCCGCGGAAGGTCACCGCTCCGTCCTCCCCCGAAAGCGGAGAAAGGGAACCGGAGCCTCCAGGAAGCCCGTCGACATCCGCGCAGTCCAGTTTCCGCTCCTCGCCCGTCACGTGAGTTGTGATTCTTCAGAGATTCTTCCAGCTTCGTCGAATGGCGACGGATGAGTGCCTCCTTTGCTATCTCCCTACTAATTTTCTCTCATTTCTTCCTCTAAAAATTTTTCTTCCTCTAAAATTTTTTTTTTCTGAATGGAAAACCGTCAAACCGACATCCAATTTTGAAGCGTTCGACCTTGAAGGATCCTTGAATCCACCGGATTTTTTTTTTCGCTTTAGCCTAAAAATTTTTTAAGAATAATTTTTATTTTTAATAATTAAAAAAAAAAGTTTTTTTTACCCGAAAACGTCTCGCAACTTCGCTCGCTCCCGGCTAGATGTCGCTAGTGTATTCCCGCTAGATGTCACTAGGTGATGAAGGAGCCCGGCTCCCCTTCGTCGTCGGGCTCGTTGCCCTCAGTAACGGAATATATTTTGATCGTTTGCCAAATCTGGATTTGCGCAATTTACATTTATTCGCAGAAAATTTCAAGCGCTTCGAAATGATCCTGCTGAGAGGGTGAAAAATTGGGGGAGGGGAGGGGAACATTTTCATGAAACATTTTCACGCTTTCCCGAGAGAAATGTTCTCGGAGTCTTGAGTGGAAAAGGGAGTAAAGGCAGGTGTCCTCGGCTGGACCTTTGTTAAGATCATCTGCCTGTGCCAAAAATAGCTTTGGCAAGGCCAGACGCCTCCGCCCAAAAGGCCCGCCCGTGCCGCAGACGGAAACGAGATGGGTACCTTGTTGCGTCCATGGGTACCTTGTTGCGTCCATGGGTACCTTGTAATGTAAAAGGAATCTAAGGAAAGATTTTGAGGTGTTTGCTGACTACATCGACAACGTTATCATCTAATGTGATACTTCCTCGCATTAAATTGCAACATATATTGTGCTTTAAGCGCACGCTCAACAACAAACGCTGAAACTGCTGGTAATTTTTCCTGTGCCCTCTGTGTGCCATTAATAACCCGTGTAATGTGAATGTGGGCAGCCCCACATTCACATTACACAGGTTCTCTTCACCCCATCTAATACTGTATATATAGACGATCGCGAGCGAGTCACGCCAATTCTAACCACGTTCCAGAGAAGTTAGAAAACTGGAACCGAGAAAAACGTCGGGAAGGACGCGTGAAGCCGTCGAAGACGCAACGGATCGTTCAATTGGTAGCTCGATAGGCCGCTCAATCTCCATGACAATTGGGCTGGATGAGCCGGCTTTGTTCCGGTCGGACGTCTTCGAGCGCGGAGATCCGGAAGTTCTGCAGCGAAGCCTTTCCCTTTCCGCGAAGCGACCGGTTCCGGCAGGACACGACCGGTTCGGAATTGATTCATTGCGGCGGTACGACCGGAATAAGTCTGGATTGGGACGCAAGGAAGTTTGAGGACGTGGAGGCAACGGTGTGAGTCTCGGCAAGAACGGATTTCAATGCCGCTCGAAATGGTGCTAAGAACATTCTGGGACTTAAGCAGTTACATTATTTCATTTGTTCAATATCCATTTTCATTTCATCCATTTCATTTCATCCATTTCATTTCATCCATTTCATTTCATCCATTTCATTTCATCCATTTCATTTCATCCATTTCATTTCATCCATTTCATTTCATCCATTTCATTTCATCCATTTCATTTCATCCATAGGGGTCGGCTTGGATGGGGTCGGCTTGGAGGGGGTCGGCTTGGAGGGGGTCGGCTTGGAGGGGGTCGGCTTGGAGGGGGTCGGCTTGGAGGGGGTCGGCTTGGAGGGGGTTGGCTTGGAGGCGGTTGGCTTTGTGGGTCAGTTTAGCCGGTGTGGGTCGGCTTTGGTCGGTGTGGCCTTTCGGAGTGCTGTTTTCCCTCCTCAATGTACTAGTAACCTTGACTCATTACCAAGAGAGAAAAGGGTGAATGCCAGTCTCAATTTCCTTGCTTTCGCCTGCCATCACTCGATTATCCCCGCGACGTCCAACGACAATAGTCTGGCGTCCTCCGCCCTTGCCTCCATTTCGACCTCGACCCGGATCCGCAATGGATCGCGAAAGCGATTCCGCAAACGAGATGACCCCCATCCCGATGACCGGATGTCCCGGTCCCCCCACGGCTAAGCCCGAGAGCACCGGCCACGATCGAACGGATATTGCATCAGATTCGGAGGAGTCATTCGATCGGAACTCGAGCCGGACAGAGTGTGACGCCCCCCCTCGTCTGTCACAATTTTAGGGTCGTGAATACAGAAGTGGAGGAGGAGGCGAGGACGACCGGCGTCCCCTCTCCCTCGCCTACCTCCTTTCCATGGCTGGATACCTCCTTTCAAGCCTTGCATTTGCCGTTGAGTCGTTTCTTCTATTGGGACATTACAAAACTGGACTCGAGCCGTTTCGTCGCTCGAACGTGGAAGTCTCAAGCGTGCAAACCGAGTTCGATTCCTGGCTTAACCTAATCCTGGCTTAACCTGACTCCGGCTTAACCTAATCCTGGCTTAACCTGATTCCGGCTTAACTTAATCCTGGCTTAACCTGATTCCGGCTTAACTTAATCCTGGCTTAACCTGATTCCGGCTTAACCTAATCCGAGGCTCAGAGGTGGAATAATCACCCGCAAAAGCGCAGCACAAACCGACCGAGAAAGTGAACCGGCACTTCCTCCCTCGAAGTCCAAGGAAATTAACGCTGCGACTTCATCTACGGGGAATTTTCCCGGCGAAGATCCCATCCGATTGCGCGCCGGAAGGTCAAACGGCGAAGGCGAGATGTCCCTATGCACCTTCAGAGGGAGATCGTCGCTAGATTCCCTGCGTTTTTCCGGGTCTGCGAAAATGTGCGCAACGTTTTACGGCGAAGAATCGCTGGAACCTTCAACCCTAACCTTGAACCTCGACCTTCA